TATCTGGATCTTGGGTGGAACTCCGGTGAAGCCCTAAGCTAACCTCCATCGACTGCCAGATCACAACTTCGATGGAGTGCAAAACACTAGAATTCCGGACGCGGGTTCTAGCTATTCTTCCAGTAGCAGGTGGGATGCAATATACTACTGGACCAACATTACTCTTTAGCAAATGCGAGGTTTGGCCAACATTCCCCCTTTTGTTCCTTTTGTATTTTTTAAGACATGAGTTGTGTACACATAAGGTGCCTGATTTTCTTAGTGGGAAGAACCTAGGAAGCTTGTGCTCATTCTCTCAGCTTAGGGCGCGATGTCTGGTGTGTCATCGGGAGGCTTCAATGGAAGGGGGTAACAGAGGTGGCGATGAGCGCAAGGTCGACCGTAGCGACAAGTGGCGGTGATGAGATCACACATGGTGGTAGATGGTTAATGAGTGACAAGTGGCGGCGATGAGATCACACATCGTGGTAGATGGATATGTGGATGGTGGAAGATATGACAACACCAGGGGTTACGCTAGTACGAAAAGCCTTACAGGTGTAGATAATTAGTGGCGCCAGCCCCAAACGAGGCGTAGTTGCTATTTTGGCAAAATGAAATAGAACAAAGGGCACTTGAAACCGCAGGTTTAACATAATAATCACAGGTTGAGTGCATAGAAACCAATCAAGATTTAACTGAGCTCCCTATAAGAGCTACAATACACTGGCAATACAACATGCACTTGATCAGTTCAGTCCAAGCAAGCAAACAAAGTCTTCAGACTAGGTAATTCATTGTTCCGAATGAGAAAAGGATGATGTTTGTCGATGAGCACTAGAATTCACAAATGTAAGGACGGGAATCATGCCAACAGATAAATATGGCTGCCATGCACTAACCCTGCAAAGGAGACAGATTGAAACCTAGCTCCAGTAAGTATCGCACCATGCAATTGTATAGTTGCTATATTTTTAATGATTGTTGTCACTGGCAAATAAAAATACAATATATGCTGACAACAGGAACAAATACCACAGTACATGCAAAACGGAATCTCACTGGAACTAAATAACTTGCAAAATTGGATGGCCAATAAAAATCAGCAGATACCACTTCAGCTATATATAGCCTACAAATTTGAATACAGACGCAAAACAGAAGGGTCAACAGAAGAATGCAAAAGGAAAATAAGGTAAGGACGGAAGCCCACACAAAAAATATTTATTTTTTCTTATCACCAACTCTAGTATATATCCAGCTTATATTTCTGTAAAAATGAAGGTGTGGGCACACAAAATCGGATAAATATAGCATGTTAAATTAGCCAATAACTGGGATACAAGCACAACTAAACTCTAATTGTGATGTCAGTACCACATTTCAACCACCCTAAACATGAAAAGCAATGAAAACTTAGGTTTTGAGAAAACTTACAAGATTTAACATTTCTATTTTTATTTCATTTATATAAGAGCATGCTAATCATGGATGCTGGATAAATACTCACCAGAGCTCTCATAAACATAGAATTCCACCGAAGAATAGGCCCTGCAGATGTTATATATTTTTGCGCTTCCACTATTATTAGATGTGGCCTTCTGTGACAGATGCAATATCATTTTTTTAAGCACTGGCGCACATTTGAGTATTAATTCCAGTAAATCAAACTCGTGTTCCTGTCCTTCGAAGCCAGTGATTTCCACTTCTTCGAGAGCAGTCAAGGAGATAGTTTGAGATCTCCAGTTTGTGGGTTCACATGGACAGTGTGGCGGGCATTCTCCTTTCAGCTAAAACCAAAAATAAAATTTAAACTACTACTTAATTACACAGTGTATAATTAAGAAATGATATGAAACAGGCAGGGGAACAAGAATAATTACCAGCGATCTCTCTAGGACGATCTTAAGCCTCTGTACTCCTCTAGAAATACGATTAATCCCAAGGAGATGAAACACCAGTGCTCCAAAAACATGTCCGGCTTTTAGGAGACGTAGCTCCAAAAGAGCGAAATCAACAACCATGTGCTTCTCTACCTCCTGCGCTAAGTTGTCTTGATTGGAAATAAACCAGCTCTGAAAAAAACATTGACAGGGTATATATCATTTTTACAATTCAGTGTAGTCAACTATCCATCTATCTATTATGAACTAGTAAAAGACAATAATACAACAGAAAAAAGAGAGATTTGCTAGAAATTATCACAGAAATGCAAAACATCAGGCCGTCACTAGGTAAAATTTTTCATGTAAACATCTATACTTGTGTTTTTGAGTCTGCACGGTTGCTAGTTCCGATAAATAAATTGAGTAAATTGAGCATGAGTGGAGTGTGGATACATACATGTGATGCATGAATGTGGAGCGACAGAAGCTGTCCCTGTCTCTCTCCTCTGTGTATCCACAACCTCTGGAGTCTCCAAGGACCAAACTGAACAATGCTTCCGGCCTCGAAATACCACCACTCCCACGAAACCTTCTCCAGCACTGGCGCCGAGACGGAGATGCTGCTGACCACCTTGTAAGCGCCTACAGACACCGTCAGTCGCTTCAGCAGAGGGGCGACGATGTCGACTGCATCTGTGTGTAGTATGCGGGTTTCAAGGAAAAGTTCCTGCAGCGATGGCAAGTGGAGTGAGATCAACCCATTCTGGACAAGTCCGTAGCCATCGTTGACAAACTTCAGGCTGAGCACGCGGAGGTGCGGGCATCGGGGGAGCAAGCTGTGGAGGCCGCCCAGGCCGTAGGAGATGGAGAGCGTCCGGAGCGCGGTGAACTCGCCGTCGGGGCAGTAGAAGAGAAGCCTTTCCATCATGAGAGATTTGGTCTGCTGGAAGCACGGCAGCCGCACGAGGTTCGGTCCGCCTTCAGATTCGACGCTCCACGGGAAGATGAGGACGATCTCCTCCGGCTGCAGCCGCACGGCAGCGCGGAGCAGCCTGCTGGCCGTGGCGCCGACGGGCCAGGGATGCCTGCTGGCGTTGGGGACGCGGACTTCCAGGAGGGAGACCGCGGCCGGGGGGCCACGGACACGGCCGACCGCCGCTGCAATCGACGGCGCGAGGTTGTGGAAGACGATCTGGCGGAGATGCGTCCAGAGATCGCGCCACCGGCGGGAGAGGACGCTGGTGCGCGCGGCCGTGGCAGCGCATCCCATGAGGGCGAGAATGAGGAGGAGGAGCTCCTGCGGGAGGGAGCTGATGCGATCCGGTTCGCCGCCGCCGCCGCTTGGGTAACAGAGCTGCGGCTGCGCGAAACGCAGGCGACGCCCGGGACTCAGCTCCATCGGAGCAGCACCACCAATCTGCGCGGATGAACGGAGGGGACGACGCCCGGATCTTGACGCCAAGCAAAACCAAAGCCCACGGTTTTCCCCCCTTTTGGAACTGAATCCCCGGTGTTTGGGTCCCCACCCAGCTTTTCAGCCGACCATCTTTATCATATACACGTTTTCTTTTCAGCCAAGCATTTCCAAATAATCTCGAATTGCAATGTAACATTTCAGGAGCAAAACATTGTCATCGGAGGCCTTAGGTAAAATGAAGGCTAACCCTCTTCATTCAAACCAACAGAGAAACCATTCGACTCCCGCGCAAACGTTCGCACATTGGCGCGAACATAGCGCATTGGCGCAAACGTTCCCGAGCAACCTACCAAATATGTTCGCTTTTGGTGGAAACCTGGGAGAACCATACCGTTTTCTTCTTCTTAATTTGTACCTGCTCCGCCGATGAAACTGACAAAACTACCTCCACTTCATGTAATTGGCAACAATGGCATGACAGAAGGGTGATCAGGCGACATGTATCTCCTCCCTGTGTAGGAAGCCACTTCCCTCCATAGATCGGGGTTGAATGCGGCGGTCCATGGGCCACAAGCGGCACTGGCTCGAAGCGCACCAGTAGATGGCTCTTTCCACCATAAGGGTTGGCAGAAGTACCATATCATTCGGGTGTGAGGAACTGGATCAGGGTTGAATGCGACAGTCCAGGGCTTGGCATGGAGGCGGCCCGATCCGTCCTCCCCAAGCAGCTCACCCTCCCCCACCCCCCTCCCCCCCACACACATTATTGTCCCCATCGCATTGCCCAGAGCACACCACCCGCGAGGCTAGATGGTGTTAGACGGCCACCTGGCGACCACATTGACAAGCACACCCATTCCCTCATGTGACCGGCTTCTCTATTTTATTCTCTATGCAAGATCCACTTGGATTAATACCACCTAATTTGGATAAGTTACATGCATCACTTAATTAGTTTGAAAATCCACATTTTCTCACCAGGTGTTGCCTTGCTAGAACATCTAGTTGTAAATCCCTCTACATGCAAGACTGAATTTTTGATAAGGAAATTTGCAATTTATTCGATAAAAACACCTTATCACCTTTTGGCACTTTGTACATTAGTTCATTCTTCACCTCATTTCCAAAGGGTTTAGGATTTATCCTAACCATATTTGTCATTGTCAAAGACGACAAGTGCCAAAGGGGTTAGGCTTTACCCTAACCATATTTGTCTTCGTCGATGACGACAGGTTTTGGATTTACCCTAACCATATTTGTCATCATCGACGACGACCAATGCCAAAAGGTTTAGGCTTTACACTAACAATATTTGTCATCTTCAAGGACGAATAATGCTAACGGGTTTTGGATTTACCCTAACCATATGCCAAATGCATAATTAATCATTCATCATTCATCAGCAAGCAAGATCATCATGCCAAACGCATCATCCATCAACACGAAGATCATCATGCCAAATGTATTAGTCATCAATGATGGCAAATGTATTATTCATCAATTAGTCCGTTCATCCATCCATCATTAGTACACATGATTTAATAGTTCAACACTAAAAGTTCAATAGGTTTAACACTCACAGCTCAACAGACATGACTTCACAATTTAATTAACACTCAAAGTTCCACTGAGATGACTTAATAGTTCAACTAAAAACAAACCAATTGTTTCTACTAGCTGTCAAATGCTACACCATCCTTGATGTCTTCTTCTTGATCCTCTTCTCTATAGGTCGTCCAGCACAAACACCTCTTGATGAACTAGGTCCATCTTCCCTTGGAGCAGAATATGGTGTTATGCTACTCGTTGGACTAATAGCACTTTGAGCAGAAGATGATCTTAGGGGCCCTGGAGGAGGAGCTGAGTAGTAGCATTGAGTTGATCAACAACGGCTTCCTTTGGAGTGATACTTGAAGGATACTTGGGCTAGCATTGAGTTGATCAACAACGACTTCCTTTGGAGTGATACTTGAAGGATACTTGGGCTTGAATGTCACTGCCCTAGAATAATGTTTGTAATTAGTTGCATCAGAGGCATTCATGCATCATATTAATCTTCTGAAATTTGAATTGAGGGAATTCTCTAAGCCTCAAAATTAAATAAAGGGCAAGAACCCTAAAAATTTCATTCAATTAACCCAAAACACCCTTCATTAATGTTTCACAATTTTGGCAAGGGTTTGGATCCAAACCAAAAATAGTGAACATTTTTAAGGAATATATTGGGCACTAAATTTAAATCATCATTGTATTTCAATTTGGATTTGTATTCATAATATAGAGGATATATTTTCAAATAACTTTGAAATATTTTATGTCCATTTGGAAAATTCCATTTAGCAACATAAAAAAATATTCAAAGGGCTTTTGTCATTTTTTGAAATTGAAATAGTGGCAAAAGAAAAAAAACAGAAACACAATATAGAAAAGGACAGAACTTACCTGTAGCTTACCTCGGCCTAGTAGCCAGGCGGCCCAGCCCACCAATGCGGACACCGTCTCCCACCTTGCGCCAGAAGGACGCGAGGTGTGTGGTCGCCGCGCACGCACATGCAGGCCACCTCCTGCCTGCTTACCGCCGCTTGGACATCGCTATGGACGCCAGACCCCTGGCCCTCTCTTTCTCTCTCCCGTGTCTTTCCTCCTCTAGCCCGCTCTCCCGCAGCCGTCATGAGCACCCGAGAGCGCCGCTCAGCGTGGGACAAGGACACCGACGGGTAAGTCTGTATGGCTGTCTGATATGTCTCCAACGTATCTATAATTTTTGGTTGTTCCATGCTATTATATTACCTGTTTTGGATGTTTATTGGCTTTACTTTACACTTTTATATCATTTTTGGGACTAACCTACTAACCGGAGGCCCAGCCCGTATTGCTGTTTTTTGCCTATTTCAGTGTTTCGAAGAAAAGGAATATCAAACGGAGTCCAAACGGAATGAAACCTTCGGGAGCGTGATTTTTGGAACAAACGTGATCCAGAGGACTTGGAGTGCAAGTCAAGAAGCAATCGAGGTGGCCACGAGGGTGGAGGGCGCGCCCCCCCTACTAGGCGTGCCCCCCTGTCTCGTGGGCTCCTCGGGCGTCCACCGACTTACTTCTTCTTCCTATATATACCAACGTACCCCGAGAACATCAGAGGCAACCACGAAAAACTATTTCCACCACCGTAACCTTTTATATCCACGAGATCCCATCTTGGAGCCTTCGCCGGCGCTCCGCCGGAGGGGGAATCGACCATGGAGGGCTTCTACATCAACACCATAGACTCTCCGATGAGTTGTGAGTAGTTTATCACAGACCTTCGGGTCCATAGTTATTAGCTAGATGGCTTCTTCTCTCTCTTTGAATCTCAATACCAAGTTCTCCTCAATCTTCTTGGAGATCTATTTGATGTAACTCTTTTTGTGATGTGTTTGTCGAGATCCGATGAATTGTGGGTTTATGATCAAGTTTATCTATGAGAAATATTTGAATCTCCTCTGAATTCTTTTATGTGTGATTAAATTATCTTTGCAAGTCTCTTCGAATTATCAGTTTTGTTTGGCCTACTAGATTGATCTTTCTTGCAATGGGAGAAGTGCTTAGCTTTGGGTTCAATCTTGTGGTGTCCTTTCCCAGTGACAGCAGGGCAACAAGGCACGTATTTGTTGCCATCTAGGATAAAAAGATGGGGTTTTTATCATATTTCATGACTTTATCCCTCTACATCATGTCATCTTTCTTAATGCGTTACTCTGTTCTTATGAACTTAATACTCTAGATGCATGCTGGATAGCGGTCGATGTGTGGAGTAATAGTAGTATATGCAGGCAGGAGTCGGTCTACTTGTCACGAACGTGATGCCTATATACATGATCATGCCTAGATAATCTCATAATTATTCGCTTTTCTATCAATTGCTCGACAGTAATTTGTTCACCCATCGTAATACTTATGCTATCTTGAGAGAAGCCACTAGTGAAATCTATGGCCCCCGGGTCTATCTTTTATCATATAAGCTTTCAATTTACTTTTATTTGCATCTTTACTTTTCCAATCTATACCATAAAATACCAAAAATGTATTTATCTTGTCATATTATCTCTATCAGATCTCACTTTCACAAGTGGCCATGAAGGGATTGACAACCCCTTTACTGCGTTGGTTGCGAGTTCTTGTTTGTTTGTCTAGGTGCGTGGGACTTTTGAGGAGCCTCCTACTGGATTGATATATTGGTTCTCAAAAACTGAGGGAAATACTTACGCTACTATTGCTGCATCACCCTTTCCTCTTCAAGGAAAACCAACGCAAGCTCAAGACGTAGCAAGAAGGATTTCTGGCGCCGCTGCCGGGGAGGTCTTCGCTCAAGTCAAGACATACCAAGTACCCATCACAAACTCATCTCCCTCACATTTACATTATTTGCCATTTGCCTCTCGTTTTCCTCTCCCCCACTTCACCCTTGCCGTTTTATTCACGCCCTCTTTCCCAATCTCCTCTCACTTTCGCTTGCCCTCTTTTTCCTCCTCGCTTTTGTTTGCCGTTATGTTTGAAATTGGGGAGATTATCGTCGATATGGACAATAATGATAACATGTAAAATTCTGATGCTCCTGTTGAAGAACCCCTTATCTTGCATACTAAAAAGTTCTGAATCGGTAGTGGTAATATTATTGGAAAAGGGGTTATTCAAGATTTCTTTACTTGTGCTGATGCTTTACCTTCTATGAGTGGTTCTATTCTTCATAGAACTAGTAGTCTTGTGGATGCTATCACCATGCTTGTAGTTGATCTTGAAAGACAATTTATGCATATGCATCCTTGCGTACAAAGAATTTTCCTGGAATTTTCCAATATTCAGCATTCTTCTGTTAAGCGCGCCGCTACTATCTTTTTGGCACATGAGTTTAGATTTATAATAAAAGAGGCCAAAGAAATCTTTGCGCACTATAGGGTGGACGCCGCCCGCCCTCCCATAGAGGCGATCCTCTTTGATCAAGAGGA